AAACCTTATAAACGTGGCCTTGAACTCTATATCCAGTCGTTTGCTTTCCTCCATTTCTGCCATTTGTGACCTGTTTTTTTGTCTCCGCATTTTGGCTGCTTCCCTGTGTTGATAGAGTGGCTTTGTGTGCTAGGTGTCCTGTAGGGCCCAGTGGCTCAGCCTCCCTACTTACCTGAGGTAGCTATGCCTTGGTTGTTGTAGGATCACTGGGAGGAATTGACCTCCAGGCCAATTGGCAGTGAGAATCAGCTGTGTCTGCAGTGGGAGAACTTCTGTGCTGGAGACACCCTTCTGGGGCAAGACTTGCTTCAGTGGGGCTTTGGTGCTCACTGAGACTGCACCCTGAGTGTGTCCCTTATGGATCTGAGGAGTTGTGATCTGGATGGTCCCCCTCTGACCACTGGGTACAGTGGCTCTTGGATCTAAGGAGGTGCTAATTTAGCCTCTGCCTGAGGTTACACAGCAGGAACTATGAAGAGAACTGCAGATTCCCCTTCCTTTTTTTGGCCCTGATAAGGCTCAGCTGTGAAGCAATGCAAGCTGCTGTGGGCCCTTGGGCCTTCTCTTGGAAGTTCTGGGTCTGTCTGGCCAGGCTGCAGTTAGGTAATTACAGGTTACAAAGGGCCGGGGCATTCATATGCAAAAGCCTCTGCCGCAGCCTGGGTGGGGCGGGGGCTCAAGGAATCAAAGGGCGGAGCAAGCAGCTATGGCAGAGCCTCAGCCCTGCCCTAAGGAGTCCCAAGTCTCAGTGTCCCGGTAACGGCTGCAAGCACCTTTGAGGGAAAGCCGCCTTCAAGTTTGCCCGCTGCCAAACAGTCCAGTTTCTCCCCGTATGAGTCCTGGGTCCCCGGAGACTTCCCGGAACCGGAGTTCAGAGCCGTCGGGAGCTTGTGACTCTCTCCGGATTCAAAAAGACAGCCGCGTCCTCAGGTGCCAGCCCTTTTCCGCGCGCACGAGCCCCCTACCTCTGCACTTTACTTCCACAGCTCCTCTGGCTCTCAGTGTGCTTTTCTTTCCTTCTAGTTGTAGAATTTACACTCAGCCAGCCTTCCTGTAGTTCTGGATGATGTCCGTTTTGTGTTTTTGATGTAGTTTTCAATTGTTGTGGGAGGCAGCAATTTCCTGATGTTTATCTATGCCGCCATCTTAGTTTTTTTTTTCCAGCCTAGAATTTTATATTCAGGGAAACTTTCTTTTTTTTCTTTCCTTCTTTTTTTTTTTTTGGTAAAAAATTTATTGACTGCAGCAAAAATATACTTAGGACAGTGAAATAAGGAAGGAAACAGAAGAAGCAACAGGAGGAGTCAATAAAGGTTGGGAGGGCATGGGAGACAGGTTCGGGGGTTAGCCCGAGAGAAGCTGCCACTGCCCACTGCTCTCTTGGTTGCACATTTCATGGGATCCCCTGGAGTTTAGGAGATATGTGCTTTCAAGAAACAACCTCCAGAAAGCACAAGACATTCATCAGCTCCAAATCCACTTTACAGACTTTGGTTGGTGCAATCCGAGTCGCAGCACCAAAGAGGTGTTACTGGTGAGACAGGGAGACCTCAGTTCTTGTCTTCTTGAGGGAAAGATTTCAATCGAGACAGAGTGTGAAAAATACAAGTATTTATTGACCACAGGAAAAAAATATACTTAGGAAAGTGAAATAAGGAAGGGCATAGAAGAAGCAACTGGAGAGCCTAGGCTGTTCTCCTTTGGTTCACTGGGAAGTCAGGGAAAAGGGCCTTGGAACAGGTTCAGGGGGTTAGCCTGGGACAAGCTGCTGCTGCCCATTGCTCCCCTGGTTGCAAGTCTCATGGGGTCCCCTTAGAGGCTAGGGGATATGTGCCTGTGGGGGAAGGAGAGGGAGAAGGGGATGGCATGGGTGTGCTCCCTGGAGGGAGAGTGTCCAGTGAAACTTTCTTCATGACATTCTCAGATGTAGGGAAAGGAAGGGAATTTATCATTAGAATCTCCTAAAATAATGTTTAAAGGGATTTCTTGAAACAGAAAGGAAATGATAAAAGATGGAATCTTGAAACATCAGGAAGGAAAAAAGGAAGGAATTGGGGGAGCCTCATGTGCCCAGACTGGAGGCCTGGGATTGAACCTGCATGTCCTTGACTGAGAATACAACCTGAAACCCTTCGGTGTGCAGGCCAACGCTCTAACCATTGGAAAACACCAGTCAGGGCAAGCTATTTTTTTAACATCTATTAACTTCCCGTTATAGATTAGGATTTAGCTATCATTCACTTTCCCCATCACCAATAACACAAGGCTTATTTATATTTTCCCACTGTAGTTAAATTAATAGTCTATTTTTTTAGTAGGATGGTAAAAACACTATTTAAGATATGATTGCATTTCCACTCTTCTACAACTTTTTGTTTTCTCCAGAATTAATAATTTTCTTGTATTGTTCACTTGCTTAGTTTTCTGTATATCTGTGATTAATTGATATATCTATACTAGTGACCGGTGCACGAAATTCGTGCACATTAAAAGGGAATTAATTAGAGGAAATATTTTAATGTTGTTATTTGCCCTTTCTCTATAATAGAAGTGTTGGAGATGAAAGAAAATTAGTAAAATGTATATAAAAATCTTCCTCCTGTCTAAGTCTGGGGCGCGCCACAGGAACCCGAGTCAAGTCCCCGCCCACCCACGTGCACCTCAAAATCGTGTGAGACCCAGACCCGGCGAGCCCACCCCCATTGGGCTAGATCCAGACCCGGCCCGCTCCACCCCCGTCAAGCCCCACCGGGCGGGGGACATGGCCTCATGTCGCCTGGCCTGGCACTGGGATGGGAGGGCGTGGCCTGAGGTCCCCTGTCAAGCCCCGCCAGGCGGTGGGCACAGCCTTAGGTCCCCCGGCCCGGGGCGGGTTGCGCGGCCTGAGGTCCCCCAGGTGGGGGGCGCACCTTGAGGTTTCCTGTCAAGCCCTATGGGTGAGGGGCATGGCCTCAGTTTCCCCATCAAGCCTGGCATGGTGGGTGGTGCAGCCTCAGGTTCCCAGGCCTGGTGGGCACGGCCTCAGGTCCTCTGGCTGGCACTGGGGCGGGGGGTATGCCCTGAGGTTCCCCGTCAAGCCCTGCCAGGTGGGGGGCATGGCCTGAGGTCCCCTTCAAGCCCCACCAGGAGGGGGGTGCAGCCTCAGGTCCCCGGGCCAGGGAAGGGGACACACCTTGAGGTCCCTGTCAAGCCCTTCCGGGTGGGGGGCACAGCCTCAGGTCCCCCGGCCCGGGGCAGGGTGTGCGGCCTGAGGTCCCCCAGGCGGGGGGCGCACCTTGAGGTTCCCTGTCAAGCCCTGCAGGCGAGGGGCGTGGCCTCAGGTCCCCGTCAAGTCTGGCATGGTGGGGTGCACAGCCTCAGGTCCCCCAGCCTGGCAGGGGGCGCGGCCTCAGGTCCTCCAACCCGGCGCTGGGGGGCAGGGGAGTACGGCCTGAGGTCCCCCGTCAAGCTCCGCTGGGGGGGGGGGGACGTGGCCTGAGGTCCCCTGTTATGCCCTGCCGGGCGGGGGACATTGCCTGAGGTCTCTGTCAAGCCCTGCCAGGCAGGCGACGCGGCATAAGGTTCCCTGTCAAGCCCTGCCGGGCAGGGGGTGCAGCCTCAGGTCCCCTGCCCCGGCCTAGCGCCATGCAGCCTCAGGTCCCTGCTGATTGCTCATTAAGGCTTGTTACAGGAGCTCAGCCTCCACTGTGGGTGCAGCCATCTTGTGTTATGGAATCCCTGCCACTGCTGTGGGCGCAGCCATCTTGACCACTACAGCATGATGGTCAATTTGCATATTCCCCTTAATTAGCTAAAATATCCCTGAATTGCAAATATCTTTCTGTTCATTTGGAATTTCAGTTTTCTCATTATCCTAATTTAAAGAGGGGGTAAGCTTAGGTTAAATTTTAGGGTCTTGGTATAAGGACATTTCTTAATGTTAGAAACTCCTTGTAAAACCAGAGTGAATATAAATGATCTTTGTTACTTTTTCTATTTACACACAAACCCTGTCTAGATGAATGGATATTTTTAATTTCAGCTCATAGCAAAGGAAATCTATAGATATTTGTGAACATCTATATTTTGATAGCTGAGAAAATTCATAGATATTTATGATCTCATCAATCCCAAACATTGGTCCCACAGGGAAGTGGGGAGAGCTGTTGAATACAGGCAAAAACACTAGTTCTGACTAGTTGCTTAATTGATCTTCACAATCTAGGATGATCAGGTGATTTCATTCCCCTCAGTTTTCTTTGTAATAATGACAGGATCAGACTGGATAATAAAGGTGGCTTCTAGTTCAAGTGTCATTTCAAGTAGATATATAATTTACTTTAATCTTGACTATATCTCCAAATTAAAGGTGTTGTTATCTTCAGCACTTTTAAAGAAGTATCCTGGTATTTAGAGTGAAATTGTGTCAAAAGGCCTAAAAGTAATTTCTAAAAGTTATTAGAGATGGCAAATTATAAAAGATAACAATAGGCCATGATTGTCCTCTTTGTTGTACTTTAAATTATGATATGGAAATTATGGTTTTAACTTCCCAAGGGTACCTGAAAAAGGAAAATTCTAAGGTCATCAGAAACTTCACTGTTTACTATCTAATAGGTTAGATTTGACACATATAATATGCTCTGAAATAATGAGTGTGACTTTTATGATGGTTTTAAATTCTCTACTATTGAAGCTAGATGGGTCCTTGAGGATTTCTGCGAGAGTTCTTGAGGGTCAATCAGTTTCTTATTGACGTAAGCAGGGGCAGAATGTACTGTTTTTTTATTTGTGTTTTATTTGATTGTGAATTTTGATATGAGAGATATTTGATATTTGGGATATTAGTTTTCAGAGGGCATTATGGTGAATTACATACATTTTGAAAATGAATTTATAAGTTCACCTTTGTGCATTTGATGGTACTAATAATGTGCCTTATTGTGAGATCCTATGAAAAGCAGGTATATAATTTAAGTTCTTAACAAACATCACTGATAACATATTTCATTGGTTTTCAGGTACTTGAAGAAGCAGAAGCCCAACATTTATATCAGTCCATTTTGCCCGATATGGTGAAAATTGCACTCTGTCTGCCAAATATTTGCACCCAGGTTAGTAGAAATAACGTCTTTCCTAGTAGCTTTCTTGTGACTCACAATTAAACTCTAATGGCCAAAGTCAAAGAGGCAGAAGAGAAAGATGGGAAATAGTTTTTGCCAAAGAGTATGATGCTTTTGCTAGAAAAGGTTAGAGGCTAAGGAGAATGCTACAAAAGGACATTAAAAATGCAGCATTCAATTTCTGAGCTTCAGTTTACACTGTTGAAGTTTGCTTACTCATACTTCTATTTATCTTTTTCTTTAAATTGTCTCTAACTTAAAAAAACAACAACAACCCAGTAGTTATTATTTCAAAACATACTAATGGATTTAGAACATTTTATCTTCCAAATGGCTTACTCCTCACTCATTTCTCCCCCACTCCAAAGTGGCATGTTGCATAACAAATGAGCCATGGTATTTTCTTAACTTTTAAAAATAGAAGAAATAATCTGGTAATATTCTATTTTGTCTGGAGTTTTTTACTAGTAATTGTTTATTGCTATGTAACAAATTGCTTTAAAATTTAATGCCTTATGGGGCTGCCTATCCATAAGCTGATTGGGTGTCCCCATGACATGGTTGCTAACTTCCCCAGAATAAGCTACTCAAGGGAGAGTGCAAGGAAGTGTCAGTGCCTTTTATGACTTAGTTTTTTAAAGGCACCTAATACCACTTCTGCTACTTTTCTATTCAGTAGAAATTAGTTGCTAAATCCAGCCCACACTCAAGGAGATGGTAATTAAACTCTACTTCTTTAAAGAAGGATTTGTCAAAGAATTTACAAACATATTTTCAAACCTTCACAAGAGGTTGTTGGTTAGTCTTCATGATTTTCTCCCCATATTTCCCACAGCAGTGGTTTGCATTTGCCTTTGTCTTTTACTCCTAGGGCTAGCCCCCTTTCTGCCTGGATGCTGAACACTGTTGCTCCACAGAGGCCCTGGGGACATTTTGGGTGAAACAGTTTCTGAATGTATAGGATGGTCTCACACATTTCATTCTGTCATTGGGGTACCCCAAAAACTATAAGTATAGTCCTTGGGACACAAAATACAACAACCCAAAACACAAATATGTCCAGATGCCTGTGCGCCATGCTGCCACCTTCAGTTGAGATCCATTGAATGTGCTGTATTTGTTAGCATTTCACTATGATATTTCCAATTTTATGTAACTTTAATTTTACCTCATTAATGCATTGTGTCTAAAATAAGTTTTTCTATTGGGAAGGATAAATATATTGTAAAACTCAACTGGTTGTTTATATTGGAAGTTTTGGGCATACCTTGGAGATACTACGTTTGGTTATAGACCACTGCAATAAAACAAACCCTATATAATAAGAGGTTAATATGCAAATCGATCTAACGGTGGAACAACCGGTTGCTATGACGCGCATTGACCACCATGGGGCAGACGTTCAATGCAGGAGCTGCCCCCTGGTGGTCAGTGCACTCTCACATGGGGGCGTGCTGCTCAGCCACAAGCTGGGCTGATGGCTGGCAAGTGCAGCAGCAGGAGCCTCTCCTGCCTCCGTGGCAGCGCTATGGATTTCTGACAGACAGCTTAAGCCCCGCTCCGTGGGCTAAAACCATCTGTAAGCCATCTGTCGGAACATCCCCTGAGGGCTCTCAGACTGCTAAAGGGCCTCTAGTATCGCAATAAAGTGAGTATTACAATAAAGTGAGTCACATGAACTTTTTGGATTTCTAGTGCATATAAAAGTTATGTTTACACTATATTGTAGTCTATTAAATGTGCAATAGTAGTATGTCTAAGAAAATAATGTACATACCTTATTTATAAAATACTTATTGCTAAAAAATGCTAACCATTATATGAGTCTATTGGGAAAATGGTGCCAATAGACTTGCTGGACACAGGATTTCCACAAACCTTCAATCTATAAAAAACAAGTTATCTGTAAAGTTCAATAAAGCAAAACTCAATAAAACAAGGTATGCCTGTATTTGCTTGCTTATGTGTCATGATTACTCTTTTTTCTTTCCCTCCTTGCTTTTTTCCTTACCTAGTAAAATTTCACTACCTCTATGCTCTAGTTTTTACTTCCCCTGCAAAATCTTCTCTACCTCTCCCAGCCAAATCTAATCCCTCTGTAGCACGCAAATCATATTTAGCACATGCGTTTGTAATTTATGTTCTTCCATGGAGATGTTCTTGGTGTCCCCAAGTTTAACATGGTGCTTAATTAGATGTGGTTTTATTTTATTTATTTTTTATTGTTTTAATTTTTAAATTTTATTATTTTTGTTAATTCTCACCCAAGGGCATTTTTTTAAAATTGATTTTTAGAGAGAGTGGAAGGGAGAGAGGGAGGGAGGAGATAGAGAGAGAAACATTGATGTGAGAGAGACACATTAATTGGTTGCCTCCTGCATAGACCCCAACTGGGGCAGGGATCGAAGCAGCAATCCAAGTACGTGCCCTTGACCAGGAATCAAACCTGAGACCCTTCTGTGTGTTGGCCAGCACTCTAACCAACTAGTCATACCAGCCAGGACTATTTTTTATTTTTTAATTACAGATTACATTCAGTATTATTTTGATTTCGTTTCTAGTGTACAACATTGTTATTAGACAGTCATATACTTTACAAAGTATTGCCCTCTCCCCCAGTATTTTATTTCCAGTACCCACTTGGCCCATACATAGTTATTACAGTATTATTGTCTATATTCCCTGTGCTGTACTTTACATTACCGTGACTATTTTGTAACTACCAAGTTGTACTTGTTAATCCCTTCACCTTTTTCACCCAGTTCCCCAAACCTACTCCCGATTGGCAACCATCAGTCTGTTCTCTGTATCTATGAGTCTGTTTTGTTTTGTTTGTTCTTTTATATTGTTCTTTAGATTCCACATAATTAAATGCTTTTTGAATTCAATATTTAGTTCATAATTGACAGTATATAGCCTTTAGACATAAATCACTTAAACTTCTCTTCCCCTCATGTTTCAGGAGAGATCGTTTTCATATTTTTATATGCCTTTGAATATATATATTTAAATACATATAAGCTATTACAAATCACTTGATAGACCAAAACCAGACTTGTGGTTCCCAACTTTTTGTCCTGATTTAAAATAACTGTGTTAATGGGGAGAACACTTCAGTTCTGTGCCCTGTCTACTGAAATGTAAATCTCTGCAGTAAAAGTTAACATGTTAAGTTGCATATGTTGTTATTTAATTATTTATATCACATTAACATTCTCTGGACCAAATCTAAATGGTACATTATATTTATAAAAAGAAAATTAAAAGAAACAAATTTTAGACATGCACTTTGGGAAAGATCTTTATGTTAATTATTCTCTTACTTAGCTGAGACTTGACAGTAAGATTTACATCCTCTGGTTTTCCCCAAATGAGCTTTCAGGCATTTCTCCTCACCAAAAGAGCAGAAACCATCTATTCTATTTAAAATTATACTGTTTGGTTACTAGGAGAACAAGAAATGGTTGTGTTAGTTAAGCCTGAAATATTACCATTAATTTTTAAAATAGTATTTGTGAGTAACTTGTTAAATGGTAGTTAAAATCTCATTTTTTACTAAAAACAAGTACCAGTTTGCTTTAAACCATTGACACATTGTTACCTTTTCTAAACTTATTGCTGGATTGTAAATAAATGTATAGGCTGGGAAATGGAGATCAATATGTGCTATTTCCTCTTTCTTAGATAGAGTGATTGCTAAGGCCTAAAAGGAGAGAGAATTTTGGATACTGAAGTGAAAATAAATTCTTTATGTTTCTCTTGCTTAGTTTTTGTGTTTTTTTTCTAAAGAAATAGTTGAGCTACAAGTTTAACCTTTCCTTTTTCTAGCAAACTCTTTCTAGCAATGATAGGCATTTTCTGTAAAGTTAATTCTTTTTTTTTTTTTAATATATTTTATTGATTTTTTACAGAGAAGAAGGGAGAGGGATAGAGAGTTAGAAACATAGATGAGGGAGATCTATCAGCTGCCTCCTGCACGCCCCACAGTGGGGATGTGCCCACAACCAAGATACATGCCCTTGACCGGAATTGAACCCGGGACCCTTCAGTCTGCAGGCCGACGCTCTATCCACTGAGCCAAACTGGTTCGGCATAAAGTTAATTCTTATAGTATTGCAGTTTTGTCTTGCCTGCCTTTCCTCAGTATCATTTCTGATGTTTATTATGAGACGTGATAAATAGTTCTCCTTGCATACTGGTTTGTGGTTAATGCAGGCATCCAGGATTCTTAGTTCTGGCTCTGACTGAAAGGAGAAGGAAAAGCATCCCCTGGAATATTTTGAAATTAACAATTGATACGTAAAAGAGATGTTGGCAATTGGTCTTTGGTTTTACCATTATGTCTTTAAACACATCGTTTAAATATTTAGAATAGAATAAAGCCTATTGGATACAATAATCAGGTCCCGTATATTATACTGGAATTAAAAGGTCAATAAATTTGAGTTTGGTACAACTAGAAGGCATTTCAGACATCAAAATTTTGAAGGTAAAATGTCCCGTTTCTTCCATGATTTGGAATGATTAGATAAATGTCTGTCTTCTTACAAGTTATATGTAAGTTTGTATACATATAGTCTATTAATTGCTATCATAAAATTAGATTTGAGTCTTATAAAGATTACCAATGTGAAGTGTGATTCAGAATTAGAAGGAAAAGACTTATTTAATGAATTATTTTTTTCGATTATTTTATTTTGGACTAAAAGAGAAAAATTGCTTTGTCCAGCAATCCTTAATATAAATGAGAACAAAATTTTGCATCTGCATTAATAGTTAAAGTCAAAATTGCATTTTTCTGTTTCATCGTTTTTTAAAAAAATTTTTGTTAATCCTCACCCAAGGATATTCTGCCATTGTTTTTTTTTTTATTACTCATTTATTTTTTTTAACATGTTTTTATTGATTTTTAGAGAGAGAGGAAAGGAGAGGGATAGAGAGATAGAAATATTGATGAGAGAGGAACATCATCAATTGGCTGCCTCCTGCACGCCCACTAATGAGAATCGAACCGGCAACCTCTTGGTTCCTGGGTCGAGGCTCAACTGCTGAGCCACACCAGCTGGACCATTAATTTTTAGAGAGTGGAACATTGATGTGAGAGTGACACATCAATTCGTTGCTTCCCACACATGTCCCGACCAGGGCTGGGATCCAGCCTGTAATTGAAGTATGTGCTCTCAACCGTGCCCTTAACCAGAATCGAACCTGGGACCCTTAGTCCATGAGCCGGTGCTCTATCCACTGAGCCAAACCGGCAAGGGCTGTTTTAATTTTTTTTTTAATTAAATCTTTATTCAGATTATTACTGTTGTTCCTCTTTTTCCCCCCATAGCTCCCCTCCACCCGTTTCCCACCCCCCCTCCGCCCTCACCCCCCCTCCACTGTCCTCAACCATAGGTGCACGATTTTTGTTCAGTCTCTTCCCGCATCCCCCACACCCCTTTCCCCCCCAAGAATAGTCAGTCCACTCCCTTTCTATGCCCCTGATTCTATTATATTCACCAGTTTACTCTGTTCATCAGATTTTTTATTCACTTGATTTTTAGATTTACTTGTTGATAGATGTGTATTTGATGTTCATAATTTGTATCTTTACCTTTTTCTTCCTCTTCTTAAAGGATACCTTTCAGCATTTCATATAATACTGGTTTGGTGGTAATGAACTCCTTTAGCTTTTTCTTATCTGTGAAGCTCTTTATCTGACCTTCAATTCTGAATGATAGCTTTGCTGGATAAAGTAATCTTGGTTGTAGATTCTTGGTATTCATCACTTTGAATATTTCTTGCCATTCCCTTCTGGCCTGCAAAGTTTCTGTTGAGAAATCCGCTGACAGTCGTGTGGGTACTCCCTTGTAGGTAACTGACTGTCTTTCTCTTGCTGCTTTTAAGATTCTCTCTTTGTCTTTTGCCCTTGGCATTTTAATTATGATGTGTCTTGGTGTAGTCCTCTTTGGATTCCTTTTGTTTGGGGTTCTCTGTGCTTCCTGGACTTGTAAGTCTCTTTCACCAGGTAGGGGAAGTTTTCTGTCATTATTTCTTCGAATAGGTTTTCAATATCTTGCTCTCTCTCTTCTTCTGGCACCCCTATAATTCTGATGTTGGTACGCTTGAAGCTGTCCCAGAGGCTCCTTACACTATCTTGATATTTTTGGATTCTTTTTTCATTTTGCTTTTCCGGTTGGGTGTTTTTTGCTTCTTCATATTTCAAATCTTTGACTTGATTCTTGCGTTCCTCTCATCTGCTGTTGGGAGTCTGTATAATATTCTTTATTTCAGTCAGTGTATGCTTAATTTCTAGTTGGTCCTTTATCACAACCTCGAGGGTCTCATTAGATTTCTTGAGGGTCTCATTAAGTTTATCGGTGGTTTCTAGAAAATTCTTGAAAAACCTGAAAAGTGTGGTTTTGAACTCTATATCCAGTAGTTTGCTTTCCTCCATTTCTGTCATTTGTGATCTGTTTCTTTGTCTTCTCATTTTTTTATGCTTCGCTGTGTCGATAGAGTGGCTTTCTGTGCTAGGTGTCCTATAGGGCCCAGTGGCTCAGCCTCCCCAATTATCTGAGGTAGACACTCTTGGTGCACCCCCTTGTGGGCTTTGTGCACAGTCTTGTTGTAGTTAAGCCTTGATTGTTGTAGGTAACATTGGGAGGGATTGACCTTCAGGCCAATTGTCTGTGAGAATCAGCTGTGTCTGCAGTGGGAGAACTTCTGTGTTGGAGACACCCCTCTGGGGCAAGACTTGCTTCAATGGGGCTTTGGTGGTCACTGAGTCTTCCCCCTGAGTGTGTCCTTTATGGATCCGAGGAGCTGCAATCTGGATGGTCCCACTCTGACCACCGGGCACACTGGCACCTGGATTTCTAAGGAGGTGCTAGGACAGCCGTGGGCAAACTATGGCCTGCGGGCCAGATCCAGCCCTTTTGAAATGAATAAAACTATTGAAAAAAAAGACCCTACCCTTTTATGTAATGATGTTTACTTTGAATTTATATTAGTTCACACAAACACTCCATCCATGCTTTTGTTCCGGCCCTCCGGTCCAGTTTAAGAACCCATTGTGGCCCTCGAGTCAAAAAGTTTGCCCACCCCTGTGCTAGGAGGTGCTAATCTAGCCTTTGCCTGAGGCTACCCAGCAGGAGCCAGCTGTGATGCAATGCAAGTTGCCCTTCGGCCTTAGGCCAACTGCAGTTTGTTAGGTAATTATCAGATTGCAATGGGCCAGGCCTTTCATATGCAAAAGCCTCCGTGCACGGCTTGGGCGGGGTCCCAGGGGTTCAACAGGGCAGAGCGAGCAGTTATGGCTGTTCTCAGTCCTGCCCTCAGAGGCCTTGCTTCTCAGTGTCCCGGCAATTGCTGTAAGCACCTCTGAGAGAAAGCTGCCCTCGAGTTCCGACTGATGCCAGACAGTCCTGTTTCTCCCGTATGAGTCTGGGTTCCCAGAGACTCACCCGGAACTGGAGCTCAGAGCTTGAGACTCCCTCCCGATTGAAAAAGACAACCGTGTCCTCAGCCGTCAGCCCTCTCCGCATACGCCACTCTACCTCTGTATTTTACTTCCGCACCGCACCTCCTCTAAGTCTCGATATGCTTTTCTCTTTCCTTCTAGTTGTAGAATTTCCACTCAGCCAGCCTTCCTGTGGTTCTGGATGATGTCCGTTCCGTCTTTTAGTTGTATTTTTGAAGTGGTTGTGTGAGGCAACCATCTCTTGTGTTTACCTATGCTGCCATCTTGGTTTTTTTCTGTTTTAATTTTTTATTACATGGTCAGTGTGTTTTTATTTCTTGCCAAAGCAATTTTGTTTTTCACTAATAAATAATGACTTTTGTGTTCTCTTCACTATTATTATTGATTAGAAATCTCCAGTCAAACAAGTATATATTTCTAATGGTATTACTGTTGATTTAAGAATTCAAGAATGGCTTGTAATTTTTCCTACCTTAATTTAGTAAATGTCATTTCATGCCTCTGCTTTTGAAATTGCTAAGCTAATTATTGCACTTCTTGTCTGTATTTTTTGTTTCCTCAATCAGCCAATACCACTCCTGAAACAGAAGATGAATCATTCCATCACAATGTCTCAGGAACAGATTGCCAGTCTTTTAGCTAATGCGTTCTTCTGCACATTTCCACGTCGAAATGCGAAGATGAAATCGGAGTATTCCAGTTACCCAGACATTAACTTCAATCGGTATGTTTTCAGAGAACATCTCTTTAACAATGAAATAGAGAAGGATGGAGAGAACCAATAGTATTTATGGATTTGCCTCAGGCCAACATTTTCTGTATACTTACTTAACTTATTGCTTACAATAAAGTGAATTGAGTGATATTTTTGCCATTTTGCAGAAAATGTAAGTAAAGTTTCTAGAACGTGATTAGGGTCCAGGAGCCAAGAAGTCACAGAGCTGAGGCTGATCTCAGATGGTCTTACTCCATGGTCCATGTTATTTACAGCATGTCAGATTGTCCTCCTCCTCTTTGAGTGCCTGAACTCTATGCCTCTTCAGTGTGATAGTCACAGGGACATTCATCATACATTGTATCCTTTGTGTGCTTAAAAATGGTAGAGCTGGAGTGCAGAGTTCTCCTTTTTGTGAAGTCTGAGTTGAAAGACATGAGGCTGATTATCTTATGAAACTTAAAAAACATGAAAAGCAAAAGTGAAAATTGACTTTGTATAGACATGATTATTTTATCAGTGGAATAGTTTTAAAAAGGAAGACAAAAGAATGTTTATATAATTTGACTAAATAATTAATACATTGTGAAGGTATTGATAGTTTTAAATTCTAACCATTTTCCCAAATGTTTACTGTTTCCATCATCTATACAAAAAAAAACCAAAACATTTTGCCTGGCCAGAGTGGCTCAGTGGTTGAGCATTGACCTATGAACCAATTACTGGTCAGGGTACATGCCCAGGTTGCTGGCTTGATCCTGTGGGGTGTGGAGGAAGCAGCTGATCAATGATTCTCTCATCAACGTTTCTCTCTCTCCCTTCTCTCTCTCTCTCTCCCTCTCTATCCCTCTCTCTCTAAAATCAATAAAAACATATCCTCGGATAAGGATTAAAAAAAAATTGCAGATTGCCCTAAACGGTTTGGCTCAGTGGATAGAGCGTCAGCCTGTGGACTGAAGAGTCCCGGGTTCGATTCCAGTCAAGGGCATGTACCTTGGTTGCAGGCACATCCCCAGTAGGGGGTTTGCAGGAGGCAGCTGATCGATGCCTCTCTCTCATCGATGTTTCTAACTCTCTATCCCTCTTCCCTTCCTCTCTGTAAAAAATCAATAAAATATATATTTTTTTAAAAATGCGGCTTGATGCAACATTTAAAAATACCACTGGGTGTTGAGATAAAAACATTTAATACTTTTGCTTTTTTTTCTGTTTTCAAACTGTTTTTAATGTACATATATACATATATATATTTAAATTTTTGTTGTTGAGATTATTATAGATGTCTCCCTTTTTTTGCCCCTCATTGCTTCCCTCTATCTGGTTCCCACCCAGCCCTCGGCCTTCACCACCCTACTTTCTGTGTCTATAGGTAAGATCTTTGGTTAATCTCTTCCAACCTCCCAGCCCTTTCCTTCTGAGATTCGTCAGTCTGTTCCATGTTTCCATGTCTCTGATACTATTTCATTCACCAGTTTATTTTGTTCCTTAGATTTCTTGTTTATTTTGATTTTTAGATTCAGTTGTTGATAGATATGTATTTATTACCATTTTGTTGCATATTTTTTATCTTTTTTTCCCTTCTTCTTCGTCTTCTTAAAGAATACCCTTCAACATTTCATATAATACTGGTTTGGTGGTGACCAACTGCTTTAGCTTTTCCTTATTTGTGAAACTCTTTATCTGACCTTCAATTCTAAATGATAGCTTTGCTGGGTAAAGTAATCTTGGTTGTAGGTTCTTGGTATTCATCACTTTGAATATTTCTTGCCACTCCCTTCTGGCCTGCAAAGTTTCTGTTGAGAAATCAGCTGACAGTCATATGGGCACTCCCTTATAGGTAACTAATGGCTTTTCTCTTGCTGCTTATATGATTCTCTCTTTGTCTTTAATCTTTGGCATTTTAATTATGATGTGTCTTGGTGTGGGCCTCTTTGGGTTCCTCTTTAGGGACTTTCTGTGCTTCCTGGACTTGTAAGTCTATCTCTTTCACCAGGTAGGGGAAGTTTTTGTCATTATTAATTCAAATAGGTTTTCGATATCTTGCTCTCTCTCTTCTCCTTCTGGCACTCCCAAAATATGAATGTTGGTATGTTTGAAGTTGTCTCAGAGGCTTTTTAAACTACTTCAAACTTTTTGCTCTTCTGATTGGGTATTTTTTGCTTTCTCGTATTACAAATTGTTGTTTCACAGAACCCTTTACTCTACTGTTGAATCCCTGTATAGTATTCTTTTTTTTTAATATTACATGCAATAAACATTAATATTTCAAGACTAAAAGGATTTTAAGTATAATATTACCAAAACTATACTAATATAGTATGATAGCACAAAGGTTGTAGGAAATATTAAAAATCTGCAAATAACAAAATTACTTGTATTATATTCTAGTATATTCCAGCCGCCCCCCCCCCCCCCCCGGCTCTATTTTTGTTCATCAGTTTATGTTCATTATATTCAAAAAATGAGTGAGATCCTATGATATTTATCTTTCCCTGACTGGGTTATTGTGCTTAGCATGATACTTTTAAAGTCTATTTTGGAATGCTCAGCATGCCTTCGAGCCTGGCAACTTCCCAGCGATCAGATCCTCCGACATTCCTCACAGCATGGCCCCCAAACGCCAGTCCTAGCTCCCACCTCAAACGAAGAAACTGAAACTGCCTCCAGCCCCCAAGCTGGAGAAGAAGCTGACCCCTCAGGATGTGCCAAAGGGAGAAAAAGAACAGTAAGAAATGATTGAACATATTGATGAAGTACAAAATGAAATAGACAGACTTAAACAAGCCAGTAAGGAGATTTTTGAAAGTAGAACAGAAATATAACAAACTCCGCCAACCATTTTTTCAGAAGAGGTCAGAATTGTCAAAATCCCAAATTTTTGGGTAACAACATTTGTCAACCATCCACAAGTGTCTGCACTGCCAGGTGAAGAGGATGAAGAGGTGCTGCATTATTTGACAAGAGTTCAAGAGACAGAATTTGAAGATATTAAATCAGGTTACAGAATAGATTTTTATTTTGATGAAAATCCTTACTTTGAAAATAAAGTTTTTTCCAAAGAGTTTTATCTGAATGAGAGTGGTGATCCATCTTCAAAGTCCACTGAAATCAAATGGAAATCTGGAAAGGATTTGACAAAACGTTCAAGTCAACACAGAATAAAGCCAGCAGGAAGAGATAGCATGAGGAACCAGAAAGCCTCTTTACCTGGTTTACTGACCATTCTGATGCAGGTGCAGATGAGTCAGGAGAAGTCATTAAAGATGACATTTGGCCAAATCCATTACAGTACTACTTGGTTCCTGACATGGATGATAAAGAAGGGGAAGGGGAAGAAGGAGAAGGAAGAAGGAAGAAAGAAGATATTGATGAAGAAGGTGATGTGGATGAAGGTGAAGAAGATGAAGATGATGATGAGGGGGAAGAAGGAGAGGAAGATGAAGGAGAAGACGATTAATGAACACTGATGGATTCCAACTTTTTAAAATTTTCTCCAGTCCCTGGGAGCATGTTGCAGACTTTTTTTTCTTTGTCTTTTTTTCTCCCTCTTGAGCCCTGTTTTTGAGGTCTCTTTTCTCTCCTTTACACCATGGTTCTCACCTTATTTGGGGTGGATGTACCTTGAGCAGAATACAGTGGAAAAAGAATCTTTGCCGCTTTCTGTTCCAAATTCATTTTTATCCCTTCCTGTCTCAAGAAAAACTTAATGGAGTCAATACCACCATGCTCTGTGGGAAAAAAGAAAAACCTTCTGTTCCTTTAGCTCTGCTGGGAGCTGGAGGATGCTAGTCCCCTGTGTACTAGTGCATAGAATTCTTGCTATTTTCCTCCTTTCTCTGTATATTGGGCTCAGAGATTACACTGTCTCTATGTGAATATGGACAGTTAGCATTTACCAACATGTATCTGTTTACTTTCTCTTGTTTTAAAAAAGAAAAAAAAAAACTTAAAAAAGGAGGGGTTATAGAAGGTCAGCAAAGGGTGGGTTTGTCATATTTGGGTGGGTTAAGTGGGCATTTTGACAACATGGCTTGTCCTTTGGCATGTTAATTGTGATGTTTAATGGACATCCCTGCAGTCTAAGATGACACTTTTAAAATAAAATTCTCTCCTAATGATGACTTGAGCCCTGCCACTTGATGGGAGAATCAGCAGAACCTGTAGGATCTTATTCAGAATTGACATTTCTCTATTGTAATTTTTGTAAGTGGAATTATTCCATCAATAGGCAAAGTGTAATAAAACCTATCTAGATGGATAGTATGTAATCTCTGTCCAGGTCTCTGTTTAGTGAATACATCACTGTATAGTGGTCAGGAATCTTGCTCCAATAAAGGAACATAAAGATTTAAAAAAAATAAAGTCTATTTGTCAGATATAAGTATTGCTACTCCAGCTTTTTTTTCCTTTTCCATTTGCTTGGAAAATTTTCCATCTCTTCACTTTCATCCTGTGTGTGTCTTTTGTTTTGAGGTGTGTCTCTTGTAGACTGCATATAGTTGGGTCATGTTTTTGTATCCATTCAGTTACCCTACACCTTTTGATTAGAGCATTTAATCCATTTACATTTAGGGCTATTATTGAGAGGTACTTATTTATAGCCATTTTAATTCTGTGTGGCTACGTTTCTCTCTCTATTTCTTCTTCTCAGGAATCTCTTGCAGCAATCCCTTTAGCATTTCTTGTCATGCTGGCTTGGTGGTGATGAACTCCTTTAGCCTTTTTTTGTCTGGGAAGCTCTTTATTTGACTGTCGATTTTGAATGGTAGTCTTGCTGGATATAGTAATCTTGGTCTCAGGTGCTTGTTTTCCATTACCTTGAGTACTTCATGCCATTCCCTTCTGGCCTGTAGAGTGTCTGATGAGAAATCAGATGTCAGCCTTATGGGAACTCCTTTGTAGGTAACAGTTTTCTTTTCTCTTGCTGCCTTTAAGATTCTCTCTGTCTTTAATTTTTGGCATTTTAATTATGATGTGTCTGGGTGTGGGTTTGTTTGGGTTCTTCTTGT